GGGCGTGGCGGGGGTGGGTGGGGGGGGGGGGGGGGGGGGGGGGGGCAGTGCTGGAATTTGGGGTTCTTGGGAAATGAAGCCTGGAATCTTGACCGGGAATTCCAGCGCAGAGGAGGAGCGGGAGCATTGGCATGGTGCCACTTCCCCCCTTCCATGCCGATGCGATGAACCCAGGTCAGGGCCCCCGGCCTGGGACCTCCCCTCCGAGGCCAAGGAAATAGACGCAGGAGGGAGTGCTGGAATTTGGGGTTCTTGGGAAATGAAGCCTGGAATCTTGACCGGGAATTCCAGCGCAGAGGAGGAGCGGGAGCATTGGCATGGTGCCACTTCCCCCCTTCCATGCCGATGCGATGAACCCAGGTCAGGGCCCCCGGCCTGGGACCTCCCCTCCGAGGCCAAGGAAATAGACGCAGGAGGCATGTGCCCTGCATCAACAGCACTATACCAACCCCGGCACGCCTCGCACCGCATCGCTGATGGTCAGGTCCTCTACGTGGATGGCCAGGAACTGGAGAAGAGAAACGGCGCGCGACAGGGCCCCACGGCCGCCACCGCCCGGCTGGGGCTTGGGCGGCGCATCGGTCCCGGGGGCGCTCCTGTCTGGCCTGTCGGTGCATTGGCCCGCCTCGAGCAGGACGCGCACGTCTCGCAGGAGCAGCGGGATGCGGGGCAGGCCCCCAGTCAGGAGGCTGAGCACCCCCGTCTCCGACGTGGCATCGGCTGGCCAGAGCACGATCTTGCCTATCCTCACGGTCAAAGGGATGGGCCCCTGAAGGTTGGAAAGGGGGGTTGGGGGTTTAAGGGGTCGCGAAGGTGAGGGCTGTCAAAGTAAGGAATCCGCGACGTCAGATGCGACTTCCCAGGCCCTCAGCTGGAGAAACCCCAACCCCAAGGCACCTCCCCATGCCCCGTTGCACCTGACCAAACAACCGGCGCCCTCCTGCCTGGTGGTGACTGGGTCCCACCCTCACCTTGAGGAGGCTCAGCTTCAGGTCTTCGATGCCGAAAAAGTAAATGCTTCCCAGAGACAGTCTGACGTGCTTGGATCGAGCCACGCGGCTCAGCACCCAGCCAAGCACCCTGCGGATGGTCGACGGACCGACATAAGTACGACATCACCGCAAGCCTCGCAACCCTCCCCACTCCATGCCCCATCGTGCCCCACCTCCTTCTAAATATGTAAAGCGCAAGGAGGAGGCCTGCCAGCAGGCAAGCAGCCTGGAGCAGGACCATAATGGGGTCGTGGACAGGCCGAGCTCAAGAGCCTGTGTCACACACGAGAGGACGACGAGCCCCGCGACATGCCGCGCCCACGTGGGGAAGGGTATGGAATGCGCCCATCGCAACGCTGGGGGCTTATCAATTTGCACTTCATCGCTCTGCTGGGTCAGAATCCCCATCGGCAGGTCAGCTGCTCTCAGGCCTGTACCCGAGTTTCATGGTGAAGCCCAGCAGTCACAGCAGCGGGGAAATCCCCTGACGCGGACTCTCCACCAGCTTATTGGGCTTTAGGAGACAGAGATTGTCAGGGGAACTTGAGTTGAACGTGATTTCGTGTTCTGAGTCCAGAGTACTGGTCATCAGTCCTGGGGTGACTGGGCGACGGGTGGTGCCATGGCCACGGAGGAGGCCATTCTAGCCAGCCTCGAGGCGCGTACTGCTCAGGCCGAGCAGCGCATTGCGGCTCTAGAAGGCACAATCAATGGTGCGATTGGGTACTTCGAATGAACCTCTCGTGCTTGGAGGCCTGCGACTTGTACTCGATAAGAATGCCCCGATGCCTGCTCCTTGATCACAGCAGCCAGTGCTCAGGTTCAGCCTGGCAGCCAGGGCACCCCAGCGGAAAGGCGAGAGGCAGAGGTGGGTGAGATTCTGGCAAGGTGCCTGAACGGCGAGTTCATGGCTCCTCAGTGTTGGTGCTTGCTACTGGCGATCGTCTAGCATGGGGCTGCACGCTTCCCCCTCACCTCCATGCCCCCCCACCAAGTACAGCTGCTGAAGGAGAATGAGAAGCTCAGGTACCAGATCAAGCATCTGAAACGTGCTCTGCTGGAGACGGAAAAGGATCGTGTGATCCCCGCAATCTGAGGGTCCCCGCAATGTCCGGGATGCATCCTTCTGGCGTGCACGCATGGACACATGCACCGGGCTGCGCCATATACAGCTGTCCAAGATCCCGCCTTGAGGCCAGACTGAAATCCAACCCGCTTTGCCCTGGCGTCACCGGATTCCAGTGGCACCCGAGGTACTCGAGGGAGTCCCAGTGGAGGTGTGCACGTTCTTCCACTCAGACGCACACCACTGCAAGCTCGTCCAGCCCACGATCACGCCAGCGCTGCGCGGCACGCGTGCAGGTGGTCCTTCACCTTGGGCATGTTTGCAAGGCCCTGCCCGCACCGGTGGCAGGCCAGGGGGCGCCTGATGTGCTCTGCTGCACCCCGAAGGTCCTGGGCGCTCAGACGGCCCCCTGCCTGCAGCCGCGGGATGACCCACCGCTCCGCGTCCAGGAAGAAGGGGGTGGTGAAGGAGTTGTAGTGCTGCTTGGTCTTCAAGCAAGGGCTGTCAAAGTCCTGGGGGTGCGTAGGTGGGAGAGGGCAGGTCTGGCCTGGCGGTCAAGGGGCAACACACCCGGTAGCAATTCCTCATCAGGCGCACCAAGAGTCCCTCCCTGACGAAGAAGTATGCTCATGGACACCTGAGTCCCTGACCACGCCCCTTGAAGTAGCCTACATGAATCCCCTCACCTGGGAGATGACGTGCAGGTGAAGCTGGGGCATGGACGGCAGCGCGTGAAAGCCACACCTGAAGGCCGGCAGGCTGGGGTCCTCGGCTGCCCTGGCTGCACTCCACCCGCGTGCCCTCTCCTGACATGGCATGGGGCAGGGGCGCGAGGAATACATGCGAGCGCTGTGCGTGCCTCAGCGCATGCGGTGGTCTGGATCTGTTCACACAATTCCAGCCTGCTTGTCGCAGCCTCAACCCAGGTCGCCTCCCAGAGGAGGCCCGCGAACTCACCAGCATGTGTCTGAGGAGCGAGACGTGGCGCTGCCTGAGATCGTGCACCGACAGGAGATCCGGCTCTCTGGCGAGGACGAGGGCATGCGCCCTGGCCTTGGGGTACTGCGGTGGGGGTGGGGGGCGGGAGAGCGGGGCGAGATGAATGATGACATAGATCGACGTCATGTTTTTCGAGACCTAAACACCCAAATCACTGACTTGGTCCAGTGCCAGCCCCTTCCCACTACCCGTACCTTGTCGAGCACACCCACGCAGAGCTCATCATGGAAGATGACGTCCGTCCCTGTGGCTCTTTGGGGGCGACGTCGCGTGTTGGAGGAGGGGCAGCCGTCAGCAGCACCTCGGCATGCCCTGCACCTCAGCTCACCGTTCTTGTCCAACCCCAGGCCGGGCTCTGTTGACCAGGAGGGCACGCTGCAAACAGCGACAAGGCCGGCAGCACAGCGACCCGAATCAGGGAGTGCACGCCTCCCTGCTCACCGGGTGGGATCGCGCGCGGCCGACACCAGCGCCCTGCCCGCCGCGGAGCGCGAGAACGCCGAGAACTCGAAGCCGCAGTCGGCGGGCGGCTGCAAGTCCCCACCCGCGGGGCCCGGGACCGGCGCCGGGGTGCCAGGGGCCTCGCCCTCGGCGCTGGGGCGGGGCGGGGTGGCGACCAGGATCTGCACGCCGCCCTCCCGCGCCACGCCCCTCGACCCGGCGTCCTGCGCACTCGCGCGCCGCTCCTTCCTGGAGGCCTCCATGAGGAGCGCCAGGGCATTCCCACGCGGCGTGGTTGACCGTGCGGGCCTGCCGCTCTCCCGCCGGCTCTCGCCGTCGCCGCCGCCGCCAGGTGCACCCGGGGCAGGGTTTTTGTGTGGCGGAGTCACTCCCAGAGGGAGGGAGCATTGGGGAGTGCACAAGCCCCCCCGACCGCTGCGCCAGCGGAGGCACCGCCCTGCCGCCTTGCCCGGGGGCTGCCGCCTGGGTCCGAGGCGCGCGGCACGGCAAGGCCCCGCCGGCCGCCTCCCCGCCGCGGGGCGTCTGCATGAAGCGGTGGATGGACCCGGGGCTGCCTCGCACCGGCGGGCGGCGGGCGAGCCACTCGGCGCCAGGGTCGGCACGCCCGTCCCACCCTTTCCAAACAGACAGCGCCACCGCCGCCTCGGCGGGGTTTCGGCAGGTGATCACGCTGCGCATGCCCTCCTTCGGGCCTGGGGGCCCCGCGGCAGTCAGAAGGCGGTGCATCGCCCCGACTGCAGGTGGAGGGGGAAGGAGGGGGGCGATGTCGCAGGCGAGGCTGGCAGGCTTCAGCTGGATGACAGGTGGATGCTGGCCCTCCCAACTCCAGAAGCACATCCGGAGGCACTCAGCACCCACTGCCCGGGCAGACCCAGGCCGTGCGACAGCGCCTCAGGCCCCTGCCCCTCCCCCAGGGCAACCCTTCCACGGCCCCCTCCCCCTTGGCCAGCCCCGCACCGTGCTTGGCGTGCTCAACGCCCTGAAAGCCCCCCTCGTGCGCCGTGCGACGGAGCACGCGCTCCACGCAGGTCTTGTGGGGGAGGTCCAGGACCACGCAGTGCGCCTGTGGTGGGAGGGGGCGGCGCGCTGGGCAGGGCAGCGGGGCCTCCGAGGGCGCTGTCGAGGCTGCAGGGCACGTTCCGCCTCCCAGCGCACGCCCGGCCCTGGCGCGCAGCGGGACCCACCTGGACGCCCAGCTCCCCGGCTAGCCGGCAGAAATCCTCGCGCTGCTTGGGGTTGGGGTTGCAGCGGTCCACGATCACGCTGGTGTCTGCCTGCAGGGCCGTCCGTGCGGCCTCCACGCACTGGTGTCGGGTGCCCGCCTTCCCGGGACCCGCAATGGAGTCCTGGACACAGCGTGACACAGGGTTGAGCTCATGGCCGGAGCTGGCAGGGAGTGGCGGTACCCGAATCAACACACGCGGGGCTACGTCTCCCGCACCTGGTTGACGCGCGCCCACTTGAGCCGACTCCCGGTCATCAGACTCTCAGCAAAAGTACTTTTGCCAGATCCTTGGATGCCTATCATGATCAGCATCACGGGCGGCGGCGAGGCCCCGCCTAGAGGACTGGACGGCAGACTCGCACACCCCTCGGACATGATTTGCGCTTATACTCTCTCGACGATGATTTTATGGTATACCATGCGCTTCAAAACTTCGTACTGCACTCGTGCCTGCGGCGTGTGCATAGGGCCATGCCTGAGAGTGAGTTCCCTTTGGATATTTCCTGGACTTTGCCATCCCGGAACACTACCAAATGCCCAGTCGGGTGGCACTCGAGCACGCCCATGTTTTCAAATGAGTTATAATCGTTGATCATCGCTTGATCAGACTTCGAGAGTTCCCCCTTAGGCAGAATCCACATTCCGCCAATTCGCGAGACCTTCGCTGTGGCAAATCGGTGATGCACGTCAGCCGCACGAGAGGTAATGCTCTGTTAGTTTACCATAGAAAGGGCAGAGTAGCGAGTGCAAGGGCGATGGAACGCAGTCTGCACATATCGGTCGCGCCTGGCGCCCCCCTGTCGGGGCCGAACGGGGTTGGGTGTTGCCCCACAGCCTTCACCCGTCCGAAGGCAATGCTGCCCATATACGCACTGCTTGCCTAATTGCTAGTCAAGCCCATCAGAACAATGGATACACAGCAGGTGAACTGTCACCTGGCCTTCATTTCCAGACTTCATCACTCTGCTGCACCTTGCCCCCCCCCCCTCAAGAAGGGAGCGGATGCAGCATGCTCTGCTTCAGACGCGGTGCCCGTATGGTTTTGGTATCGGTTGACCAGGCGGGCATCTCAGGCATTACATCTGCTGTCAGCAGCTGGGAGAGTGCATCGGGGTCCTCGTGCACTGCCTTGTCCGCCTTCAGGGTGGTCCGGGGCGCCAGCCTTTGGTCTGCATCAGTGAATACCGACTGGCCCTCGGTGGCGGACTGGGTTACCTGTGATGCTCAGCAGTGGGGAAGGCGTGCTCTTACTGTCCACAAGGTGCAGGGCGGTGGCACTGTCCGGTTCTCAGGTGTCGAGCTCCCTAGATGATTGTACCCAACTGGTCGAGGTGTCAAGGCGCTGGCCTGCCACTGGTACCGACCCCTGCTGCGCCTCCTGTTGGGCCTAGCCTAGGATGCGGCAAAGATCTTGGTGCAATGTGACACAGGTCGGTATGTTCAGGGGCATGAAATGGACGGGAAGTGATTAGTTTACTGTGTGACACCGAGGAGAAGCACAGATTGCCATTTGGGGGAACAGCGACACCATGCACATCCCTAGCTCACCTCTGCTTGCTGCGATCACCTTGTCCTCCTGCAGAGCTGCCCACATGCGGTTAAGGCCACCATTCATCTGTTCTATCTCGTTCCCCAGGCAGTGGCCGGCAAGGCCGGGTCCACATGGTGTGCCAGATCGTGATGCCGTGCTTGCGGAGCGCTGGGCACTTGTCACGAGTGTTCACGATCGCATTTTGAGTGAATGCGCGAGTGGAGCAATTAGTCCATGTGGACAAGGTTTTCCGGCCTCCGGAGGAATCCGGCATCCGAGTCATTGTAGCCGGCCCGGAAGGGCTGCTGCCACGTACACTTGCCATCTCGACGTCAGTACACTTTCCAACACCAATCTGTATAGCCTTGGAGTGATTCCACTGGCTCGAAGTTGTAATTTGATTGTCATGCGTTGCTAGGCATGGGATGCTTTTCGACAGCACTCGTCCTAGGCGTGCTTCTCGCTGGCGCAGGGGTGCGGGAGGCACAGGTGGGGTGACAGTGTCTTGCCTCGCGTTATGGCGGAGGCTTCTCGAATCTCGGCTGACACGAATCCCACGGTGTTGAGATTGAAACAGAAGCCCTGCACCCACGCAGGCTGACTGCGACCCGAGGGTCGGATTCTACGCCCTGCCCACCCTCGAGTGAGCTTTCCGAGCCGGGGGGTTGTATGTCTTGAGTTCGGTTCCTCTGACTGCCCTTGTGCTCGTAATGTATGCGTGGATGTGTTTGTATGCCTTGCACGCTGGCCAACGGGTGCCGGCCAAAGCTTGACTCCTGAAGTCCCGAAATAAGAGCCGCTCAGCACAACACTCACTCCTCTTCCCTTCCAGGTACCTCGGCACTGTGTATCTGCTAGGCTCTGGAAGATCTGAGGCCTACTGCCGGTGAGACGCGATCCCATGGCCTCTGTAGATGCTGACGAGGGGTTCTCTGGTGTGTAATCAAATCCAGACGGTTGGTGCTGGCCTGCCAAAAATGCCAAGGGCCTGGCACAGACACCTTGGGGCTCTCGCCCACTCCCCACGACCATCCACGCCCCACAGGCTCAAGGGATACGATGGTCAAGCCGTCGAGATGATCCACGCGATGTCCACCCGATACCCTTTCCCGAAGTATACAGTAAGCACAATAAATCCAAGCACCCGTGGCATCTGCACACCCACTGAACCGAATAACTACTGCTACTTTATTGAGCTAGTCATGTGCTATCCCAAAGGAGTTGATACCTGCGAGACAGACTGGGACTATGGGAATTTGGGAAGCAACAACGACGGCAAATATAATTACGGAAACAACAATAGAGGCACCTACAACCATGGTAGGTCGCAGTGGAGTGCCATCTTCCTTTAACCAATGCCTGGCGTGATGTGTAATTGATCACGTCTACCGCTCTGTTCCACTGCAGGGAATGGCAACAGCGGATACCTCAACATGGGCTCCAATAACACGGGCGATAAAATCGTGTGCAACAACTGGGCGTCAGATGCTCCATGCCCGATAGAGAACCTAAAAACAGTTGAGACAATTCCCTTGGCTGCCTTTCCTCCACCCTCTCCGCCGCCCCCCCCATCCCCGCCCCCATCACCACCACCACCCCCTCCAAATCTGTGCGACCCCCGCAACCCCATCCTGGCTCTGCCCACGATAGAGTGAGTGGGCGCCCCGTGTGGGGGCACGCAGTGAACAACATGCAGTTGTTGAACTTGTTAGGGAACCCTCCCCCATTCAACGATGAGACCACACCATCCCCACAATCTTATTGCAACAGATACCTGGGCACCCTCTTCCTGGTCTCCTCCATCGACCCAGACGCGTATTGCCGGTCGGTGCCTCTAGCAACGTTTTGGGGGGCCGCGGACGGGTGCATCCGTAGTGCTTTGGAGAGCTGTTGTCTGGCACTCCATCAGGGGATTCGGCCTTGAGCCGAAATCTTCAAGTCTCCCCAACACCTCTTTGACAACCCCATCCCATCCCTATATATATGGCAGGAGGAAGGGATACACAGGAGCAGGGTATTGGGAGTCGATCAACGTGGCTCCGGATGCTCCATTCAGTCAATTCCAGATTGACACGCTCCACCCTAAGACGCTGGAGAAGTGCAACCCAACCAAGACCTATCGCTGTCCTGCCCTCACTGTGGTCGAGTGCCTTGCCAAGGGCGCGGCACGATGTGCAATGGACGGGAATGGGAACCTGGGCAACGACAATATGGGGTTTCACAACATCGGGCACAGCAATCAAGGCAGCTACAACAGAGGTGAGTGATTTTGATATGATCCCGCCCCGGCCTGCCTCCGAGTCTGCCCAGACCTGAGCACCGGACAAGCACCCAACATGCAGGCAATCTCAACCTGGGGGATGACAACATTGGGAACGGGAACTGGGGGACAAGCATTGCGTGCAACGACCTAGTGGCTCAAGACGGAGCACAGTGCAGCACAGCGGCACTGAAAACGGAGGCCACTCTGATCCTGATGCCTCCACCTTCCCCTCCACCTGTCCCCCCACCCAGCCCACGGCCCATTGTCAGCCCTCCAACAGCCACCCGCCCACCCCCGCCTCTCCGTCCACCCTCCGCCCCCAATCCTCCCCTGCTGCTGGTCCCTCACCTGCGCCTATCCCTCCCCCCTCCCCTGCCCCTGCCCCATACCCCTCCTCACCCTCCCCAGCCATTGCACCCGTGCCGGCCCAAGCGAGCCCCCCACCGGCTATCAGCCCGCCCCCCACAGAGCCACCCTCGGTATTCCACCCCCCACCGTCGCCATCACCTGCCAAGGTACCAAGCCCACCACCTAACATCCCACCATCAACCCCTGTCATGACGCCTCCGCCCCCCTCTCCCAAGCCATCACTGCCTCCCCCTTCTCCCCAGCCATCACTGCCTCCCCCTCCTCCCACGCCAACACACACGCCTCCCGCCAAGAAGCCGCCGCCACCCTCCCCTAGTCGATCACCACCGCCTCCAAACAGGAAGGCACCACCCCCATCTCGCAAGCCGGCATCTCCACCACCTAGCAAGAAACCTCCACCCCCTTCCCATAAGCCTGCACCCCCGCCTCCGACCAAAAAGCCGCCTCCCCCCTCTCGCAAGCCAGCACCTCCGCCTCCAATCAAGAAGCTGCCTCCAGCCCACAGGAGCCTCCCCCACCCCTCAGCAAGAGAGGTGTAATCTCCCCTCAAGAAGGAGACTACCTCCACCAGTGAGAACTCTGCTACCGTTTGCAAAGAAGCCTTCGCCCCCCTCAAATCAAACCCACCCCCTGTGCCCAAGGCAGATACTTCTGCCGCCTCTGGTCAGGAAGTAGTCCTCCTTCCGCCTTGGACGGCATCCCGGCCTTTTGCAAAGGAGTCAATCCTTACCTGCATTGAGAACCCATTTTCAGGCGTGGCTGAGGGTTGCCCTCTTTCACCAGAGAGAGACCTCCGCCTCAACAAGTGGGCTCTTGTTCCACTCGACTTCAAATGGTCGTCCCTTCTTCCTCGGAAGGAGAGGCATTCCCAGACAACTAGACTTGTCTTTCTGTCTGAAGATTCGATAGAAGCTGTCCCAACAGTGCACCTGTACCTGCCGTATGGTCTTGTTTCTTCACAGGCAGGACTGCATGTTCTGGCGATTACGCCAGCCGCACCCTTCTCTCTTTCCCTCCGGTCACATGCACGGCGCCATGCCCTCATCGCCCGGCCACAGCTAGGAAATTCAATCCCCACACTGAAAACGGGGA